AGGAAAAAAAGTATATTCCCTGGATTTTATTTTCACAGAATCATACAAGTAACATTTAGCGAAAATAGCGAAAATAAATTCAAGCAAAAATAAAGTATTCTACAGTAGTTAAAACTGAAAATAATGTACTTTCAAGATTAGGAATCAGCAAAACAGGTGACAACTTTTGGCCTGCTGTTTTCATGGCCACCCACATGTCTCTCAATATCAGAGCCCTCTAGGTCAATAAATGAAAAAAAACCTGAACTTCAGAACCCCTAGGTTAGCTGAATAAAACACTGGATTTTCAGCTTGCATATGGTCACTGATATTACCCAATTGTCTACCAGCATGGTTGGATTATGCATTTTCTATTAATAGTCAAATGATATGTAAATCTTTTATTTTTTTAAATATTGTGTTCGTGTATTCACAATAGTATCAAGACTGGTATCAACAACACTTACATCCAGGTTTGTTAATTTTGATCCATTTTTTTTTAGTGAGTCGTGTCCATTTTTTGCAATAGGTTAATTGGTTTGAATACTAAGCAGGTCAAAATGTTGCATTGATTCGTTCATATTGAGAGCTTTTACATTTTAATTAAAGGCATGGAAACTTATACATATATATACATGTACTAGTGAATTTTTCTGTTTATGAATCCACATAAAACTGAAAGCCTAACATCTGGTTCTGTGTATAGTTGAGGTTTTGAGGTTGAAAGGTCATGTTTTTCACTATTATGTCTTCAACTTTTGGTCTCGTACAAATACTTGGGTAGTGTGATTTCCAACATGTTGTTTTTGATACTGATGTATTGTTCTTTGACCTGTTTGATTGAGAATGTCATTTAACAGTCAGAAAATGTTATGTACTGCTGCAGACTGTGCACAGGGCTTGAACTTCAGAATTATGAGGCTACCCATGTTGAAAATGCTGTGGTCTCATTGAAACTGGCAGTCGGGTAGAACATTGAGGCAATTGCCTCCGTTAATTTCAAGACCTGATGTGTTCCCGTATTCTGAATGTTGGTACTTGTACTTGTACAGGTTTATTAAAGTATTTTTAGATTTTAATTATAAAAACAATAATCTATTAAATAATATTCAGTATGTATGCTTTGTTGTGATATAAATTCATGGTGTTTTTATTTTTATGCTAATTATTGTGCAAGTAATTTAGAGGTACATGTATAGATCAGCCCATTTGTGACTTGTTCTAACTTGCTAACTTATATGCTGGGTTTTCTACATGTTTTTAAATTAAAAGTTGTCAATTAAAATATCTCTTCTGTACTCTGCATACATGTACATGTACATGGATAGCTTTTTCAAGCACTGACACCTCTCCAAAAAACGCTCCTTTTCGATCTGACGCAGATATGGAAGGAGAATGTATAACTTTGGAAGCAAGTGAAAAACGCAACGAATTAATGACTTGGCTAGTTACACAGGTCGGAAGATTGTCTCTACACTGCCTCAGAACTTTTAGTGGGAAGTTTTGGACACAACGAACACTTTGATTTGTACCATTAAACCAAATCATCCTCCATTGTTGTTGCACACATTGTTACTGAACAGATGTTGTTTGCAAAAAATATTGCAGATTAAATATTATACATATTTTCCTGTAGTATAGGGGAATCTGCAGGGGATGATGTAGTACAGTAAAAACACTTGCTTGAGGACTGGTCAAATTAAACTGGCTGTAAAGACTTCATTTCGTTTCACTTTTACTCAAAACCTGTAAGATTTTTTATATAATGGTTCATTATCTAAAATATATCAATCAATCAATCAATAGCCATGTTAATTTTCTGAATATAGAGCCTTTGTATAACAAAACATGCTGGAGTCAGTGTTCTGTAACTGCCACAGACATCAAAAGTTTTGAATCAGGAGTTAACAACGTGGTTCTATTTGATATTTTGATGGTGATTATATAAATGACGTGCTTATGTGCTTGGGATCCAGGGGTACCGTGCATGTACTATTATAAATGTAATTTTACTCATTCTTGCGGGGTGGCTACACAGTTTGTTGCTTTAGAGAGGTTTGAGCCAAATTGAAGTTTTTACAAACAAAATTCTGAAATGTCATGGAAAATGGTCAATTTTTTTTGCACTGGCTTTTGTGTAAAATTTTTTTTGTGTGTATTTCAATATTTTGCTTTTTGATACGAGATGAGATAGATGTTGTATTGATGTTTTCTCTTAGGTTAACATCAGCAGATGTCAATCTGAGCCGCTGACGATGATCATGTCAACCATAGTAAAAATATTGTGGGATTATATATTCATTACATGCATATTTCTACAGTTTGAAAAAAAAATTGAAAATTCAGGGTGTTGAAACTATTGCTGAACTAAAACTGAATATAAATATGCCGTCGTGCATGCCTCGTATGTTAGTTTGTTGATGCCACTGTGGTCTATTTCACATGAACACCTTGTGTACGCGATTCTGTTCGATATTTCCTCCAATTTGCTGGAATTTTTATGGAGGAACTGAAAAATAATGTGATGTGCATTTTCAATTTTTCCTTCATTACGTCACACTATGGAAATATGCACATCATGCATGTGATTTAAATTTTAATATTGTTCAACGTTAAAAAAATTAATTTTCAGTGTAATAAAAGTTTTCCTTTAAATACATTGGAAAGTTATTTTCCCAAAATGCATTGCATATGGTGCTAAATTTGAATTTGGCTCGAACTGCTGTAGTTAACTTTCTTGCAGATGTACATTATATACTGTATGTACCTAACAATATCAAAATGTTACAAAATTGTTAAATAATTCAAAACATTTATGATAGGCATGATATACACTGTAGTATATTTTTGTAATTTTTAATATAATCATTGTTTTGTTTTTATATCACATGATACAGATAGCAAGACTACAAAAGTCTGATAGCATGAGCAAAGTAAAACAGAGGAAAGTCTCCAAAAAAGTTGACAAAAAAGAAGAAGATGCACAAAAAGCGTTGAAAGAACTATATAGAATAGATAGAGAAGAGAGAGCTGGTATTGTTCTATGGAGGCGACCATTCACGACACTTTATTATTTCCTATGTGAAGTTATCATCAAGTTATTTAAATTACTAGTTAGGTAAGTTATCCACACTTTTTCATAGAGTTGGTTAATATCACTGATGTCATTGTTACTCAGGAACACACAAAACATCAAAGAAACCAGAGAGCTTTCAAGTTGAACTCCTTGTTAATTCCGCCAATTTCAGTTACTACCGGTAGCACTCCAACAGCACTAATTTTTACATATAAATACACTTGGGTGATCAGATGACATATAACACCATTAGAAAAGTATATATACTGACGCATGCAATAAAGTAGTCCCGAATACTTCAGTCATATTGGCTTGTATTATACATTTTGCATAAACCTGTATTAGTACTAATTCAAACAAATCAAATAATAGAATAAATTGTGTGAAGGGTTTAAATTTTTGTTAAAATTTTTGTTTTTCTTCTTCAGACAACATTTACTTAGCGCTAGTTTGCTATGTTGAATGTGTTGGTCGTCCACAGCGCTTTTTTGATATGATCGTCATTCAAGATATACAATGTATTTAATAATAACATTGTTGACTTAAAATATAAAACTATAACACTTTAATTATAATTTATTACAGGTTATGGAATAATAAATTTAAAGTAATTATTATCACATTACTAGCTGTATCGTTATTTGTAACTTATCATTCACAAGGATCACATCAGAGGGTGAGTATCTGGTAAAAGGAAGAGCTGTCATCCAGGTTTTTAGCATGGCTTCTATAAACATGAAATGGATAATGAATGATTTTGGTAAATTATGTGTCATAAACGAGAGTTTTGAAGCATACATGTAATCTACTAAACAAGTTCATTATCTGGCGTGATCTTTCAATATTGGCAGGCAACAAGGTGTACAAATCTAAGATAGTGGTCATAAATTGTTTGGTCTAGGATGGCCTTACGTTGGTTAATTTTGTTGGGCGCCACTGTCAAACTCGGATATGTACAACTCATGTGACGGACATACTGTAAGCCAGGATGTAACTTTATAACAATGGTTTAGGTGACCAAACAAAGCTTACTGAGTTTACTGCATCAACTTTCTCTAATCGGTGATCTCTGACTCTGATTTCTTGCTTCCCAACAAAAGAAAAAACTAAAAGTTTTCAACAATAAAATGCCTAAAATAAAATTTGCTGAATAGAATCTGGTAGGGTATAGTGGTTTAGGTGATGACCGAATAATTATACTTTGCTAAGTACTCTAAGTATTTAATGAAAAGCAATAATTTGACGACATGATGTTCTTTCATTTCATTGCAGTATGTGACAGAAGCGAGGAAGCAATTTTTATGGTGTTTTTACTGGGTTGGATTGGGTGTACTTTCTTCTGTTGGTCTTGGTACAGGCTTACATACATTCCTATTATACTTGGTAAGTTAGTGTTAGTTGAATAAATATACTGTAAAATAATTAATTTTAGCTGGAATTAATTTTCGCCAAAAACGACTTTTTTGTTGTTTTGTATGGAATTTATTTTCTCTAATCTTTGACAAGTTAAATGTACGTAAAATATAGGCAAAAAGGCATATTCGCTGGATTTTATTTTCACTGAATCCATCCATCAGCGAAAATAGTGAAAATTAGTTTTAAGCGAAAAGTTGTCCATACGTTTTATTAATTGGGACACATACGTGCATATTTAATAATGACAACAATAATTAACGCCATTATTTTAGCGTCTGGTGCGAGCAAACCGCTCTTGCCAATCAGTCACTGCGTACACACAAAAAAAATAGACAAGCGCAATGGAGTGAATACAATGACTGCTAACTGAAAACAAACTTCACAGAATTATTCTATATTTCGACAATTACATTAAACATTCTTTAAATGAAATTTGAAATACATTTTTATTGTGGGAATACAACACTGTATTGGTATTTGAATAATCCAATGCATGAGCTATTATTATAAAGCAAAATAAAGCCTCCAGGGTAAAGAATTATCGTATTTCAGTATCTACTTCAACAGATGGTATTACAGCAAATAGTTGTAGTTACACAGCTGCCACAGCGAACATAAATTGTTATTTGTGATAAATTCAACTGTTTTCTTTTGTCTACATTGGGCACCGCCAGGATGTAACATGCAGTAGCAATGTAATCTCAGTATTAAACTAAACAGATATTGTAAACCGCTTCAATTTCAATATTTACTGACTTACGAAATTTTTTAACTTTGTCAAAACACATTGCGAACTAATGCTGATTCTTGAGCTGTATTTGGTTCAAGACAAATTATGTCACAGTGTAATAGCTTATAATAGTAATGTCTTTTTTATGTTCTTTCCACATGTGCAATGTCTGGTACACGATGACCAGTAATTTGCATCTGGTGCTGCAATTTACTTTTCTTTGTGTCTTGGTTGATAAAACAACAATGTCTCTGTAGATCGTGAGCTAGTGCTGGTCCATGCATTTTTTCTCTCGGCTGCCAACAATGTATGCTGTTTTTTTTCACAGTATCTGGCAAACTATAATACATGAATATATTATAAAATATCTTTCATAATTCCCTTTGAGGTAGTCAGGAAAATTTCTTGTGATTTTCATCATCACAAGTTATAAATTATTGGTTTATTAAAAAAGATTACCGTAAAATCTGTATTAGAAGCCGCATCCCTAATAGAAGCCGCACCATTCTTTTTGAACAATTGAGAACCAAAAATTCACCATTTTTCATATGTGTAGATGCTCTAATAGAAGCCGCATCTCCTCTGTTGCATTGTACCATTTCAATAGAAGCCGCAGCTTTTAATACAGATTTTACAGTACTGTGTATTCTGTGCTAGTTTCCTCGTGCCATGAATTAAATATCGCGCTTCTAACATATTGAATCGGATGTTCAGACCCCTCGTTGATAATTGTGTATCTTTTCTGTTTTTTTAGGGTCCACACATAGCAGCAGTAACACTAGCAGCATTTGAATGCATGTCTGTGGACTTTCCAGAACCACCATATCCTGACGAGTAAGTCTATTACTGTATCTCATTAACTCTTTAAAGGCCATAATTTTTTGAAAAATTTTGGTGCAAAATTTTCCACTATTTCTATGTATTTTTTTTTATTTTCTGTTATTTTTTGGCCAGCTTGACATAATTTTCTATTGACTACAGATCTTGATCAATAGTTATGATCAAATACTGAAAAAATTATGTAGGTTTATTTTGTGAATATTTATAGCAGAGGGGTAACCTAAGCGACGATAACAATGCACGCTAAAAACCCATAGGCTCATGGGTAGACACTTGTTTGTAAACAATGACACACTATGTACAGGTGACGACTCCCTCGCTTTAAAAAAATCGGTTTAGATTAATTTCAGAACTGAAATACCAGTATAGCTTCAAGGTAACAATAGGGAAAAACAAGTAAAAAATCATCGGGTGAAACTGACCTACTCATGTTCCCTGTCAGTAGGTGAATATTTAGGAATTTAAATATCTGGAATTATTGTTTCATGATTACTGTAAACACGAAATTAAATACGTAATATTGTTGGTTTGACATTTTACTGACAAATCCAGATGAAATACCAGCTGTTGCTACATTTGTCTTGCTGTGCACTTTATTTGACCTGAAAACAATTAACCATCTGGACAATGCTATTATTTATCTTCAATAAATGTAGTATTGGAATGAAACAAAAATCCTGGGTTAGTCCAATGTGTGTCTGTCTTCAATCAACAACAATTGCTCCAATAGTATCACACAAGATAGCTGACTGGTGGCCATTTTTGTTACAAAAAAAAACGACTCAAACTATACATGAACCAATAGATTCTTCAATTATGACAATATTTTAAAATGTGTTTATATTTCAGAATTACATGTCCTGATGAGGAGGGTACCTCCATGAATATATTGACAATCATGAGTAAAGTCAGACTTGAAGCTTTTATGTGGGTCAGTATGTTTTTTTCTGCTCAAAATTGTATGATAATTTAATTTAGTAATATTAAATCAGAATATTTTTATGGTGATTTTAAATTAGAATGGTGATCATCCTTAAATGTCATTTGAGCAAAACAACAATTTCTACATTTGATTGATAGAGGATGCTGTCTAACAACTGTACCTAAATTACAAGTTAATCCAAATTATAATAAAAGCAAAATTGTAACTAATATTTTGGCATGAACAAATATCTCTGAGAAGCAAAATGCAGTGACTTGTGAGGGGTAGGAACCAAGGCAGCAGTGTAACCCTGGCCTTTTTGCAGCATCTGATTAGAAAGCTGTGGGAAACACTTAAATATGTCTACCAGGTATTGTTCTTACAATACAAATATACGATTATTTTGTTTTCATGACCTTCACCACTATGAACATTCAAATGATAGTTATCTAAATATCTCATTGTATTTTGCCAGAGTATTTTTAGAGTGTCCAAGATACGAGATAAATTCTACAGCAAGCAAAATAAATGTGTTTTTTATTTCATAAAATTACCTTTCATGTTCAGTATAGTTTTTACATAAATGAAAAGATTGTGTTTAAATAATCTATACATGTTTGTTTTACAGGGTATGGGTACAGCTATTGGTGAACTGCCACCCTATTTTATGGCAAAAGCAGGTAAGATTAAGTTGTATGCATTGTCATGTCAGTTATAATTGTCACACCATGTAATGTATAATCTGATCATACAGTGTCCATTGGATAGTACAATGTAACTCTTGTTAAATAAAAGTATTTCTCAGCCAATCAGAATGCTCCATTGCAGGACATTATATACACTGTGTATACTCGTTTTCTATAATTTTCTATACTTTATATATATTGGTCTCATAAATTGTTCACATGACATCCATGATTTAACACTGACCTACTTTTACTGAGCTTAAGAAACAACAAAGGATGGTTTGTACTCAGACACCCACACAATGGTCAATCATACAGACACACTGCTCGTTAAGTTATATAGAATCTTATGTCTGTCATTGGCTTTTGGGCTATTTCATTTTATGATTTTCGTGTTAGATCATGAATATTCATAAGTTGATCATTATGCAGATCTTGTGTATACACCTGCGTAGATTTCAGTATGCAAATAGTATAAGAACAGTGACCACAAATTCCAAAGGTCAAAGGTCACGCACACATGTAGGGCTTTTTCTTACCCAATGACTCATTTGTCTCGGTAGTAACAATTATTGATGCAAATTCTTTTATTGTTTATACATTGTATGTATTGAGTTATTTCTTCATTAATCAGGCTAGGTTGAACACAAATACTCTAACACTTTAACCTTTTCACCCTCAGTTCCTTAAATAGATTAGGACAAAAATAGAAAATTTTTCGAGTAAAAATTCACTCTAATTTTGTCTGTTGGCTTCAAAATTAGGGCTCACTTCTTAAAATATTGAAGAGTATATTATAAGAAAAAAGTGCAGACAAATTAGGGCCTGAAAGTCAGGTGATGAAAAGGTTAGCCAAGGTTTCTCCAATGTAAATGAATCTTGGCAAGTGGGTGGTGTCAACTCTTTATCTCACACGTTTCATTCAACTCGATTACAGCAAGACTTTCCGGTATTGATCCAGACGATGAAGAGTATGAAGAATTTGAGGAATTTCTCGAGCATTTAGAAGACGCCCAGAATCAGGTACGTCTGGGGAGAAAGAGATCCCCAAACTTTAACAGGAAGACAAGTCAATGAGCATTCTACTTTTACAAAACAAGCTATAAATTTGAAGTAAACAGTTTAATTTACACAGAAAAAAAATAATACTGTAGAATACTTTATTTTCGCTTGGAATTAATTTTCGTTATTTCCACTGAAGGAATGATTCAGTGAAACTAAAATCCAGTGAATATATTTTTTTTCCTATATTTTACATTAAATCAGTGAAAATAAATTCCATACAAAATACCCAAAAAGTCTTTTCAGCGAAAATTAATTCCAGCTAAAATAAAAGTATTTTACAGTACATTATTACAAGTAACTATTGCTACAATGTTATCCCACCTGAAGGATGTGTGTGCTATTGAATTCAAGATGATAATAGACATGAGTATCCTTCAGTATGCATGTTTCTCCTACGTCTCAAGGCAGTAGTTGTTCTGTGTTTGATATGACATGGTGATATGTTAACTTATACATACCACAGTGTTTTGTATGTTGATGTATGTATGCAGGTTTGTGTATCCAGTTCAACTGGACTTCATCATATCAATTTTTTTTTTGTCTCTCCACTAGGACTTTATAACACGTGCGAAAGTTACAGTTCAGAATATCGTACAAAAGCTTGGTTTTTTTGGTATACTTGCTTGTGCTTCTGTAAGTTTGCTTCGTATTGTGTATCTTTCTGGAATTGTATCCCCCACGCTGGTTTACCTCGCTTGGGCTTCAAACTTTTCCCAGACCTGTTGGTATTTTTTCACAACACAATTGCTGATTTTATAAATTTTTATTATTTTATAATAAACACATGTCACTTTTGTAAATTGACATTGATACACATAACTTTATTTGCATATGTTATAGAATGAGTAACCCGAAAAATGATTTTCATTTGCTGATCTTTCCAATTCTGTTTGCGTAACTAATTACATTGCACATTGACTATCTCACAACTAATGTAGCTATGGTATTTCTTTGTAGATTCCCAATCCGTTGTTTGACCTTGCCGGAATTACATGTGGACATTTCCTAATTCCATTCTGGACATTCTTTGGTGCTACTCTCATTGGTAAAGCTATTATAAAGATGCATATACAGAAGATGTTTGTTATTACTTTATTTAGTGAACACCATGTGGAATACCTTATTAGTCTTATAGCGTAAGTATAGTGTTTGTATTATCATGGTCACTCCATGCACGATGGCAGAGGTAATGACTTATAAAAGGTACATCTGACATGTTAACCTGAGTCAATTTTCAGTTTTTGCTCAAAAAGGTCTTCTGAAGGAAAGTGCAGAATATAAGCGATACTATTTTGTGAATTTGTGATGAAAATAGGGAACTGGGGGTGAAAAGTTTAAATGTATATTTTGTGATATCCTAGTACTATTAAAGGCTTAACAACAAAATTCTGGTTAGTGCAGTGTGCACACCACCCGCTTGAGTGCCATCAAATATTTCAGTAGAGAAAACAAATTTAAAATGCCTAACCACCAAATTATTACTGGTACTCCTCGATCAGATGAAATGGATTTATCTTGATTCAATTGTGCATCTCCACCTGCCTCAACATGCCTGGGCCAATAACAGTAATAATTAATAATATTATTTTCATACATACATTAAACATCTTAGGCTTTATATGCACTTCCATTCGTTATCTGATTCAAAAAGGCTGATTGGCACAAACTTGGAACATATTTTGGACATTATTGGAACCTTGTTGTATGTCATTTTGTTTTTCAGATCCATTTCAAAATAACTGGTAGTCTTTTGTTTTAATAAATTTGGTTCCAGTGCACATCACTGACATGCCCTAACTGATTATTATTTTCAAACTTCAAATGTACATCACACATAATTATTTGATGATCAGATTTAAGATAGCTGATTGGCAGCCATTTTAAAAGTACATCACAATAACGCATTTCTGTCGTTCTGGACTTGTCGTATTATTTCACACTTGATACATACATTGAACATACCAGTAATAATGATTTTCAAATTGGATTCAAAATAGCTGAATGAAAGAAATTTTGTGTTAACAAATGTTTTTCAAGAGTCTTATCTCTTGCCTGCAATCAAACTTCACAATTATGTTGTACATCATGTCATTAAAATGCATTAGTTTCAAGTTCTGCTTCAAAATGACTGTTCATGGAACTTATCGTATTATATAAGCATTGTGCATTTTAGACACATTTGTCAGTTTTGTAACATTGTATAGTAAGTTGTAAAGTGACAGTTATTTATGATTCTCTACAGGAATATTCCAAAGATTGGACCATCTTTACAAGCACCATTTAAAGATTATCTTGAAAAACAACAAAAAAAGCTACATCATAAGATGGGTCCTCAAGTCTCAGATTCAGTAAGTATTCTTTTGTGAGTTCAGATGTTTTATAGACATGATCTAGCTTATTGTTGATATTTTCATTATGCGGTGCAACATTTATGTTAATTTCTGCAGGATTCTTTCTGGTGTTTACCATTCATGTATATATTACTTGACTTTCTGTAGGATTCCAACTGGTTGTCATGGATTTTTGAAAAGGTTATTATCATTATGGTCACCTATTTCCTTATTTCAATTGTCAATTCCATGGCACAGAGTTATGCGAAGCGACTTCAGAAAAATGCACGAGATAAAAAACAACAAACTCAGTAAAGATTGTAAATTCATTGTAATAAGTGCTTTCAATTGTGTTCACTTCAAACTGATCTCCTATTCATGTTATAAACATGAAGATTAAGTTATATTTCCTTCGCGTGTAAGGTTCACCACAGTACATTGTTTAATAGCGTTTGTTTCAAGTGATGTTACTACATCATGTGATTAATTATTCATAAAGGTGTTTGATTTGGACGACCAAATAAAAAAAACTAAAAGAATGACTGGCGTATTTAGAACTGATGTTGTGTTGAAATACTTTCTCAAGGTATTTGTTCAGTCTTGATTTGCAGCAAATTACTGAAAAGTCACAGTATTGCAGTAAGTTGAAAATGTTTTTGACTCCCGTGTGCGAAGCACAAAAAGGGAGTCTTTGCAGTTAGTGTGTCTGTATGTGTGTACCGTATGTGTGTATGTGTGTGTGTGTGTATGTGTGTCCGTCTGTTCCACTGATATCTCAAGAACCATACATCAGTTTTTGATGAAACTTGGTGCATAGATGCTCTGGGCCAATGCGCAGATTTGATTAGGTTTTGGTAAAAATTCATGCATATTAATTACCTAATTTGCATGATAATTAGCTGATTTTTAGCTGTTTCATGACTGTTCCACTGATATCTAAAGAACCACTCATTGGATTTTGATGAAACTTGGCACACAGATGCTCCAAACTAATGCGCAGATTTGATTAGTTTCGGGTAAAAATCTGTGCAATATTAATTACCTAATTTGCATAATGATTAATCAATTTTCGGCTTTTCCACTGATATCTCAAGTACTAATCATCACATTTCAATAAAACTTGGTACATAGATGTCATAGGACACTGCACAAACCGGAAAGTTTTTAGGGTAATATCAGTAGATATTAATTACCTAATTAGCATAATTAATTAATTTTCAGCTTTTGATATTTCAAGTAGTAATTGTCACATTTCAATGAAACTTGGTACATACATGTAGATGTCATAGGACACTGCACAGACCTGAGAGTTTTTAGGGTAATATGAGTACATATTAATTACCTAATTTGCATAATTAATTAATTTTCAGCTTTTGATATTTCAAGTACTAATCATCACATTTCAATGACACTTGGTACATAGATGTCATAAGACACTGCACAGACCTGATAGTTTTTAGGGTAATACGAGTACATATTAATTACCTAATTAGCATAATTAATTATATTTCAGCTTTTGATATTTCAAGTAGTATCATCACATTTCATGAAATTTGGTA